CAAAGAAGTGCTTAACTCACCCCTCAGTTGTTAAAATCAGTGTTGAAGAGCTTTGGGTGGGCTAGTCATGTGTTCAGTTACGGGATATCTGCTGTGGGAAGGGAAGGGAGCAGTAACCATCATTTGGGGGTTGTGTTCTCTGCCTGTGTCAGTCAGACCCATGCGATACCTGAAGCTCAGAATCCCAGGACAGGAACCGAGGAGGCCAGATGTCCGTGCGTAGCTTTGCCACAGACACCCCAAGTAGCCATATCCTCGGTTAGTATCCCCCAAATTCAATGAGTGACAGGCACCTGAATGTCAAGCTCATCATATCTCCGTGCTTCAATTTTCAAGGGAAAATTCTGCCCTTTCTCTTCACACTGGACATGGACTATGGGGGATGATCATCCCTTCCTCTGTATGTGCAGTGGTGCCAGCAGCATGGCTCCTGGAGTTTGTAATAGAGAATGGGAGTATAAGCTTTGGGACTGCCATCTTAAAAAATAAACTTTGCGTGGTGCTGTTCCTTATAACAGAATCTGTATTACAGGTCTGCCAACAAAGTACCAACACTTCGTTGTTATTTCTTATCTGAGCTTTGTAACCTATTAAACAAGACTATAAATATAGTCATCAAGAAAAATAGGCGTAAGTTAAATGTTAAATAGTTGCAAAAATAAAGAGTAACGTTTCTGATTAATTTTCTTTGTCAAATAGTACCCTAAATGGTACTGAAATTTGTCACTTAATCAAAGAACAGTCTAAACTGTGTGCAATTACATTTTAAAAAATTAGAACACAATTTGCCCAGAAGATAAATAATTATGATCCAATTTTATAAGTGTATCTCCAATTGTTAGAACATACTTTAAATAGGAGCAAGTATGTACCAATTAATTATAACTTAGAAGATTATTCTTAGCTCATTGTAGAGCTTTATTATTCACTCTTGAAAAAAAAAAAATCCTGTAAAGGCACAGCACGATTTTAATTAATTTTTTTCCAACTGTTTAATTTTTAACTTTTTTCCCAAAGTGTTTAATTTTTAAACATGAGCTCTGCTAGCTACATATTTCATTCTCACCATCATATCTCTTAAGCAAGAAAAAAAAAGTTAAATAAATTGTATCAGTATTCAAATAAAAGCCATTTAAAGTGATGCTTTCAAAAGTTTATCTTTATTCTTCTGAAGTATCCATCAATCATATTAGCTCTTTAAAAATGAGAGCAGCCTTGAAGGCCCACATGAGGTTTAATATAACAAGGGGATATGTTCTGCAGTGTTACTACCTAAGCTGAACTGAAACAATGGTAATTTTATCCACTTGATTCAGTTAATACAGGGGGCAAACACTCCACATGCTGATCTGGTGCCTTGGAACTGCAATTTTAGAACAACATTTTCCACAAAGCTATAAAACTAAAAAATCTGTAGACTGGGGAGATTTCACATGTTTAGATAACGATGAAATACAGGCCCATAATGACTGGAGGAGAGAGAAAGCAAAAATACCCTCAAATGGAGAAAATTCAATTAGCGGGCTCTCTCTTCAGGCAATAGGGAAATGACTTTGGGGATATTCACATTTTCATAAACAATTTTCATTTCCACAAGAAGAACCCCCCTGTCTACATTTCTGATTACAAGGCTCTCACAGGAGTAATTTGTAGCTTTTCATAGCTACTGTATGTGCTTCTAAAAAAATTATTTAGTGTTTGTGTCAAGATAGAAAGTCCTTCCTTCATTGAAATAAGGCTTGACTGGGTTCAGTTATTCTTCATATTCAGATATCATATGATAAAACAGATTTGGGGCAACGGGTTGTTTGGTCCCACAGCCAGGATAGCAACATCCTTTTGGTTTAGTGTATGTTCTTATGGCTACTGTCAATGTATTAAATCCCAAATTAAAAGTAAAAAAAGACATAAGATGGTGAATTGTGCTTTAAAGATAAATAATCTAGTGTATCAGAAAATCAAAATGCTAATTGATACCACTTTCATGTTCTATGAAGTATATGTGTATTTGGCTGCATATTTATGTTACGGTAGTTGCTGAGATGAAGTTTTGAGAGAGTTGCAGTTATTTAGAAAACTTCAAGCCTCATTCTGAGTTAATATAAGCCAACACAAAGACAGCACCTAAATATCTGCTCCACTAATTTTAGTATGTCTTGATTTCTTGTGTTTAAATATGTAACCTTAATTTTCTGTTATAGGCTCAGTTATATGCAGTTTCCTCTGCGTGTACTTTTTGAAAGAAATGTTAAATGGGGGAAGAATAAATTGTTGATATTCATTAATGTTTGAAATATCGCAACAAGGGCTTAATGATAGACTTTCAAATAAGAAGTAAAAATTCCATTACAGTGAATGGAAATTCAGCACCTAGCACACATTGATAATTCTGTAAATGTCAACCAAACTCACATTTTACTAATGTTAACTCAGTTTTTGAGAATCAAAACTCAGTAGTATGGAAATGCTGGTGAGAGTGATAATTTTTTTTCTTTATTGCCCATGTCTGTTTCAACACTGTTTCTTTTAATGGATCTGGTTAGCTTTAATGATTTTCTGAATTCCTTGGTTTTGTCATAGCAGTTCTATAGGGACCACAGAAGCAGTTGCATAGACAATGCATAAACCAAAACTTCCTGATCTCAGGTAAATCTAAGGAGAGTTGATAACTTTTTTCAGTGCCAAATGTTTTAGGTCATCTGAACATTGTGTGAAAAATCTAAGAAGGCAATGGGAAGCATCAAGGGGGAGGAACTGTGGAACATGCATTTTTTGGAGGTCCCATCAATGTGTCAGTGACCTGTAGGAATTGCTTGAGCTATGTGGTCATAACCACAACAGTGCTCATTGCCTGGCACAGCGTGGGAAGGGCATGTTCTCACACAGTGATTTGGTGGTGGAAGGAGAATAAACAGAAAGATCTCGAACCATGCCAGGATCTGCACTGTAGTACCAATTTACTCAGGCTAGATGGAAGCAGTTCGTGGCAAAGATGAGGCATTTCACCTCCAATTTTGCCTTATAAGGCAATATTGCTGGTGTGTGCTATGCATAGTTATAAGTTTCACATTCCTAGCAGCCTACCCTATTTCTCTTGCCTACCCTTTCAGTTGTGCTTTGGAGAGTTTACTCCTAAATAGATGTCTGGGTTTGTCTGCATCAAATGCAAAATATCTCAGCACTAGTCGAGGCAACCCTTTGTGGCTCTGTTAGCATGGAACTCTGCTAAAAAATATCCAAGCAGCAGCACTATCCTGAGCCATGTCAGCTCAGCAGAAGCAATATTCATGTGACTGTCTGCGTCTAAACCTGTAGATAGACACTCTGAGATGATGACTACACTCGCCAGAGAACATAGACAAAGCCTCAACCTCAGGACTTCTTTACTACTCAGAAAAAGCATAACAAAAAAACAGTAGGCATTAATTCTCCAAAGTTCTTCAGGCATTAGTAGGAGGAGTGCACTTTTTTCCCCAGTTTTTCCTTAATTTAGCTATGTACTCCTTTTGTTCTTTTTTTCAAGAAACCATCATAGTTGTTGGAACCAGCTAACCCCATAGAGGCAACAACAGACTGTAATCCTTCACAGACATCAGCATATGGTTTCTTACTTTGGCTACTTCAAAATGAAGTACTGAAGAGGAATCAACACTTTGAAATGCTGAAAAGCCACACTGGGTTCATGTTCCAGGGACTCAGACATGGCCAAAGAGATCAGCTGAAGAATTTTTTTAACAAGAACACTCATCATAGAGCCCAGTAATAGAAAATTTCAGTGGAAGAAGGCTTTTTCTGGAGAATGAATAGATGGGAGTAAAAGAACCTCTTTGTTATGGACTGAGATAGCCCAGTCTATGGTGTAAGACTTTGGTGAAAGTCTTATAATTAAAGTATTGATGTAATCTTTCTTTCTGTGTTGTTTAAGATTTGATATCAGATTTTACAGAGGTAATTTCATTCTTTGTCCCACTGTGTCACTGTCCAGACACTGACAGCAGCTGTATGTACTTCTAGATTCTCTAAAGAGGTCTTGCATATGAAGTTCCAGAGGTGTTTCAGCCTAGCTATTAATAAGTAGAGAACTGTATTGGTATAATTTTCACCAACAAAAAGAGGGTGTTCTTTCCTGCAAATCAGAAATGTATTCCTCTGAGAAATGTCTAGCTTTATCTGCAGGAATACCCTTTAACTCACAAATGCTTCAGCTTCTGTGCTTGTGTAGGAAACAAGCAGGGTAGGAAATTGAAAGTCCTGAGATTTTTTTAGAAGAAAATGGTGCATATGCACATCCTATACTAGGTCTGAATTTGGCTGCAAGAATGTTTCATTTAGCTGTAGTCTGATTTTGTAGTACTTGAGCAGTAATCACAGTTCACAACCCATCCTATGGCATAGCTCATTTGGTACTGATATTAATATACTGTAAGAATGAATGGATCTTTCTATTTTCTTCACTCCTGAAAACACCATTTTTAAGTAGCATTGTGTCAGCACATCCTTCCTTACTTGCATGATACTATATGAAGATGGAACACATTACAACACGAGCAAGGAGAAGATCCTGACTGATCAGCTCTTGTTCTAAAACCTCAGTACTAAGGACAAGAAGAGGAGATTTGGCTTAGAGCCCAGCAACAGAGTGATAAGATCCCATGCTAATCTGGAGAGCTTATGTTACCTGTCTTGCCGGTTATGTGTCATATTATGTGTTGATGAACTGAATGGCCATAATTTATAGTCTCCTGACAATGTGACAGCATTATGAAAAGAATGGCAAGCATGTGTTACTCATTAGAAATCCATTGGGATGGCCTGGAAAATTGGAATATTTTGGTGGCAGTAAAGAGATGCAAACATAATTAAAAAAAAAAAAAGAAGATTACTGTTGCACTTTAATACTTTAATTTTTGAGTCTCATAAATGTAGTGATGTTCCTCCTTTCTTTCCAATATCAGGAGGCTGCTTATTTACCACAATACTATTACTGATTTCTTTTATAGAATCCCACTCAATGTGAGAGACATTGTCTATTGTACAGGAGTTTCACTGATGGATGAAGATGTATGGGAGTTCATTTGGATGAAATTTCATTCTACCACAGCTGTGTCTGAGAAGAAAATATTGTTAGAAGCCTTAACTTGCAGTGATGACAGAAACTTGCTCAACAGGTACAAAGATACTATATATCTGTATCTGACTATCACCAATAATCACTTCAACATTTATGGATCATCACTTGAGCTTTGGTTCAAATGAAAGAACTTTGCTTTTCAAGCACAAACTGTCTGTTTAAACTGTCTTATGTTTTTGCATTAATACATATGAAAATTGATACATATTATGCCTTTTCACTTCCAAGTTTTCCTATGTTTATTGGAAATGTTTAAAATCTTGTAATAGTTGCTGTTATTTTTTTTGTTAGCATATCCTTTATTTAAATGGATTGACCAGTCTGATCTTACTGATTTCATAAAAATGCACGTGTAAAGTTCTACTCAGCTTTTACTGAAATCCTTTTACATCAAGATTTTTCTGATTCATAAATGTGTATTGTCTTTAGAATCGTAATAAATGACTGAACTCAATTGGAGACTTAAGGAAACCATTTGTCAGTGATTTTTTTTTTTGCGAGTTTTCTGATGTGCTGTTGTTAACCTATATGTTCGTAAAACTAAATAGGACTTTTTTCCCTGTTTCTCCTGCTAGACTTTTGAATTTGTCTCTCAACTCAGAAGTTGTCCTGGATCAGGATGCAATTGATGTGATAATCCACGTAGCTCGAAATCCACATGGGAGGGATCTTGCTTGGAAGTTTTTCAGAGAAAAATGGAAAATATTAAATGCTAGGTAAAAAGTCCAAATTTATTTTAATTTTCTTATTTTGAAGTAATTCGTGTAAGTATTGTATATGTATGTATTCATGTAAGTTCCTGAATCTAGTCCATTCTCTTTTAATCCATAAATAGAGATGTCTCTAAATATGAAATGCATACATATGAGTCATAAATGCATTTATTCATGGATTATAACACAGATGCATAGAAACATTTATCTCTTAGTGATCATCTGTATATATATATATATCTCTATTACTATATTGTGTCTGCTCTTATGATAATGAATTCTATCTATATGTCAAGTGCTGCAGTTCTACTTTTACATAGATAAAAAAGCAGCAGTTCCCAAAGGAATTTTGCTGATTTTGTGTGATAGAAAAGAAATATTTTCAAGAACATTATTTCAACTGTGGAAAAAAACACCAAACCCTTTTTGAAACATTTCTGTTTTCAAAAGGATGCTAATAGAGTGTCATCCCCTTTCTTTCCATTCTGTTTCAGGTGAGTTTCAAGTAATAGAGGAGCAACATTTTGAATTAAAAATAGATTAACAGGAAGAGACAAGGTTGTTCTTTATAACTGCTTCTCTTTCTCTTTGAACAAGTGCTACATGCTCCTACTCAGGAGCCCAGTCAACATTTCAAAATCCTTTTTGATAAAGATTTTGATATCAATTCAATGAATGGGAAATTTATTTAGTTCTTTAGGGACAACCTGAGGGTCTGAAAGATTTCACAATAGCTCACCTGATACTGACAGATTAGAAAGGGCCACAACTGTAATGAGGTTCAAGTTCTTAAAGACAGGTGTCCAAGAACTTTAGACACTGCACACCAGGCCACTCCCATGGTATTGGCAGAAAAAGTATTGGAGACCTGTTCCATTCTGGACTGGCGAGGAGCTATCTAGTGTACCGCAGAATATTTTAAATGGTATATTTAAGATGCTGTATTTAAGCAACTAAATACTAGTGCCTGGTGAATACAGGTACAAACTTACTATAGGTTTCATGGCATCAAAAGAAGAATCAAGGAAACTCAAAGACTGTGCAACTTTCCTAGAGATTCAAGAAGTTGTTCATGCTATTTTGGATAATACTTTATAGTATAGTGAGCTTTTAGAAGTTCTGGTGGAAAAATAGGTTTGAGCTGGAATTGGGTTTGGAAGTTTCTGCTGCAGGAGCATATTTTTTTAAAGCAATTTCCAAAAAGCTTTAAGAGTGCTGAAGAGTTTAAAAGTTAAGAATCCTCTGCTTCTGGTATGATTATTCCAGAAACTGGACTTTTACACAGAAAGTGGATGACAGGCCCATTACTGTTATGCAACCCAGTGCAGTTAGTTATGCTCTGGATAGCAAATAATTCTTAATTTTCCTCCAGGTATTTGTACAGAGTTTGGGCATAAATCTGTCAAAATCTGTATTACTACAAACACATATGCAGAAGTTACAAACACATAGCCAGTATGTTCACCTGACAACCTAGCTAACTCCTGTGATTTTAGACATGGACAAGGTTAAGCAGTGTAGACATATGGACAAGATTTAGAAAACTATGCCACATGCCAATTTTTTTGTTTGTTTTAATTTTATAAAGTTTACTTCATCTAAAATATGAATTTTATTTATCTCACTTGCTTGGAACGTATCACTATGTAATCTGTGTTCCTAACAATCAGTAAGACCTCATCAAAAACCTGTTATTGTCCTTTTTTAATGAAAAAATAACAGAGATTCTGTCTCTGCCCAACACTGACTTTGTTATCTAAATTCAGTTTGATCTCCAAACACAAGTCAAAGCCATCAAAAGGACTGTAGAAATTGCATTTTTCTGAAAGGGACATCCAGTTGAGTTTCTATCAATTGCCAAAAGATTCAATGCAATAGAATGAAGTAGTTCATGCAAGCTGTACATATCGGATGTGTATTGAAAATAACTTTGTTTTATAATTATAATAAAACCTTTTAAGAGAGTCTTTGAGAGGGTGGACTTAGTCTAACACCTTGACCCTTAATGTTCAGTGAAACAGTGACATGATAAAATGCAAAACTGGGCTTCTGATTTAAGCTTGCCATACTAGTACATTTTAAAAATACTAGCTGTATTGCCGAATTACAGTTCCAAGTACACTCTGTCCCAAGGCACCTTTTTTCTACAATTATGATTCATTATTTAATTTTATTTGAAATTAAAATACCCTGTACAAAACATTAATAAGGTGATATCTCAATGATATTTTTCAATGGAATTTATTATAAAAGGTGTTGATGTTTGAGATAGTAATATGAAATAACTGAGGGTGATTAAATTATACTATAGCACTATTTCCTCTAACTTTGAAACACAGCATGTCAAAGAGTTAGAATGATAACAAAATACTCTAATCCTTTTATATTTTTACAATATGCATGTATTTACATTGTCCAGAAGGTACTGATAATATATAAAGTCTTCAGAATCACTCATACCCCATTTATGAAGATGACTTAGAAATTGAGGTGCCTAATGAGTCTTTCATAAGAAATCCATGGGACTAAAACTGATAAAATTCTGAGAAAGAGAACTGAAAATACTGTGCTTGAATTCCTGTTACTTGAGCATGCACTACCTTGTCTCCTAAATCATGTTCATCATGTGTGCACGTGTGTGTCTGTGAAAATTTAATCCAACAGCTGCCTATAAGAACTCCTTCATCCTCAAGTGCTGAATAATTTGTCAGCATTTGAGAATTTGACAATTTTGGGGAAGTCATTTACATCTGTCCAAAGTAAGTGGACTATGCTGTCTCTCAAGTTGAGTTCACACAAGTGCAAAGCCTGTACAAATGTGAAGCTTTGAGGATCACATCCCCAGAGGTAGAGGAGCAGGTGGAGAGCTCATGACTCTGGGATGTTGCCAAGGAGCTCAGGCTTGGAAGGTCCTGGTTCTGCCCTGCTGTTGTCTTCCCTGTGAAGGGTGAGAAGACTGATACTTGCAAGACCAAACCCTTTTTCTATTTATTCTTGATTCACACCTGCAAAATACTCTTTTGGGAGGTGGCTTTTCTAGAATTTTTGCCAGCAGACCCCATTTAGAAATTGCTAGTAGCGACTGTTTACCAAGTATGTGTAATAGGCAGTAATCAGCACAGGTATTCATGAAGGTATCATTTTCAGTGGAAGGAATTCTCCTTTTGTTTGCACTGTGGCTATAGTACAGACTGCAAGAAAAATAAAATCCCCGCAGCTGTTTTTATGAGGTCACTTCTGTAAAGTGGATTGGTAACCTTGTCAAAAGACCCCATCAAGAGGAGCTTCCAGTTTTCCAAGCAGTCAATTATGAGGCTAAGCAGAGACTGTAATAATAAAGGGCTTTGTTAGAAAGCCTAAACGTGCTTAAAGGACCATGAAATCCATACTTCCCATAGGAGGCGTTTGCCTCTGGATGTCTGTATATGTCAGTGTGACTGGAGTTTTGGAAAAAGAGAGGTACTTGCTGAAATAGCTATGAATAATTCAGTTATTAGTGGTCAGGGAGTAGGGTTTTTGATACCTGTAACTGTGTTTCCTCTCACTCAAAATAAAGGTAGCAAACAACACAGCGTATACCTTCCCTAAAACAGAATCTTCTTAAAAAAACCCAGTTCACTTCCCTCTCCCTCTCTCTATCGCTCTCCCTGGAGCTATCCCTTCCCCTTTCTCTTTCTTTCTCCCTATTGAAGGGACTGTGGCTTATAGTACCTAAGCTTCTAAGAGTAATTAATTTAGGATTAATAGAAGCAGAACAGAAAACTTTGGCTGTGCTAGTTCATTTCACTTTGAATTTTAAATTCCTCCTCTAAATCAGTTTGTAAAAGCAGGGTATGAACTGAATTGTTGCCCCAGATAAACTTAATTGTAGAGAAGTCTATTGGTATTACACGTCTGACAGGAGAGCTGGATTCCCTATCTTAAAAACAGTCATGTTCAGATTAGCTAGATGTTGCTTTGGATATATGTGCAGATAAAGATAAGGATAACTATTTGTCAAGTGTCTTTTGCTATGCTGAATGACATCTAACTTGAACAAAAGACCTGCTTATGGTTTCCAGTGGAATTACATTCTTCATGCTAGAGACTTTGGAAAAAAAACAACCCACAAGCTATTCCAACATGAAATGGAAAGTTCAGGAGGAGTCTGGTTAATCTTATAAGTGATGCAGATGCTTCATTTAGGGCACTAAAAAAACTTGTGGAAAAGCAGGTGGAACAGCAAGATTGAATGGCCAGTTTCAAAGCAACTACCTGCAGAAGGTCACTGCTGATTGCTGCTGAATAACATACCCTTTAAATATTCCTTGCCCAAGCTTTCAAATTTTCATTCCACGTTCGTTCTTTGAAGATGCTACATCATGGCCCAGGGGTTTATTTTAGCAGTATTGTGCTCTATCAGTATTATTTATTTTAATTATCAGATACTGGAACAAGAAAATTTTATTCAGTTCACTTATCAAGAGGCTATTTGTAATGTAGATGAGATGAATTAATACAAAATGCAGAGAAGGCTGCAGCACTTCAAAAAGTCTATTTTAATGGTACAGCTCCTCAGAATACTTCTCCATAGTTGCTGCTCTGCTCCTTCTTTGGCACCTGTATTTTGAGCTGCTTGATGTCATTACAGGAAAAGCTGTTTCATTAAGCATGAGGTGTTGTGGTTTAGTTCCCTCCTTTGGATCCCTTATCTGCGGCTGTGGTTAAGCCCGTTCTGCTTGGTAGCATCCAAGTAAAAAGTTAACTACAAACAGCTTAGCCTGGAGGAAGGTCTCAGTCCAGGTTTTTAGCATGAAACACGGGAATACCAGTGTCCCAATTCCAGTGCTATTCCCTTGGATCCCCAGTATTGGTCCCATGTCTTCTTCTATGCTTACAGTAGAGTACTTTCTAATTTTCAGCTGGCCTGGCTCTTGCACTTACTCTCTGTGCATCTTCTTTTTGCCCTTGCAGGTACGGAGAAGCATTATTTATGAATTCGAAGCTCATCAGTGGGGTCACAGAATTCCTCAATACCGAAGATGAACTAAGAGAGGTAATTTTTAAATTACTTTTGGCACATCAGGCTGTATTTGTTGTAAGCAGGGAGCAGGGCAGAAGCAGTAAGGTGTCAGTTGTCTAGGAACTCTGGCTGCTCAGCTGGATTCACAGGCCCATGCTGCAGCTGGGCAGCGTGAGGATGAGGAGCAGATTGCAAAGGCACTCAAGTGTGTAGAAGTGGTGTCAGGAGGTGGGCAGTGCAAGCACGTCTCTGTGCTTCGCTGGATATGTAGGTTTGTTTCCTTTTCTTGACTATTTTTTGAGAAAATAAAGATGAGAACTTTCTATCTATATTAATTTATGCTGCAGAGGGCAACCTTAGAAAATGCCAGTGTTGAAAGCAGGAGCTGTCACTGCCTTCTCTGTTTTTCTTTTCCTTACAGTATTTCCATATGATAAAAGCTGTTAACCTGGTATTCTGGCCAAATGACACCACAACAATTTGTTCTAAATGCTAAGTACTTCTTATTTAGATTGCAAAGATTTTTCATTTCAACTTAACATCTGCCTTGACTTGAGGTAGTTGTGTGGTTGTGTTATGTTCTGCTTAGCAGCTGCTCAGCATTACTCCAAATGAATCAAATGATTCTAATACAGCATAATCACCATTAATTGAACTCTGATTGCTCTATGAAGTTTTGTGTCCAACCATTTGTCTGCACTCAAGTCTAGTGGCCTCAGGAACTTAGGGAAGAGCCACAGCTGGTTTCCTCACAGCCACAGCAGGTTTCCTCAAAGCTACCCAGGTGGGAAGGTCAGTGCTGGCCAGATGTGAGTATCTGCCCTGCACCAGGAAGACTTTTGTACTCTTAGTTTCCATTTTCATTATAGTATTGGCAGGCTGACAGTTTATGCTTCTCCTAAAAGGAACCAGCTTTGTAAACATTAAGTCTGATTTTGATAGTTTTCAGGTCCCTCCCATGCTTTTAACTGTGATGAAAATGAGACAGTTGCAGGATCAGCTTTTTCAGTTTTGAGACCATGCACAAAGAGATGTTGTTGGAAGTTAGATTTAAATAAACAAGGTGAATTTGGTCTCATGAGGAAACCAAAATTAACTAGCTATGAATAAATGTTGCTAAAACCACCTAATTTTATACGTCAACAAAACCAGCAACCTACTGTGCAGATCAGTCTTGCAATTCTCACTTAAAAAGAACAGTAATTCAAAGCACACCAGTGGCATCAGCTATAATAATCCAGGTGATAGTGCTATAATTTGAGTATACACAAGAATGGAGCAGAGGCCTTTTCAGTCTGCTGAAAAAAGATCAAAGTTTTCTTATAAGGGAAGGAATCTGTTTCAAGCATTCAAAGATCATTAAATGAGTTCCCACTTGCTATTTTGCCATTCTGTGCACACCATAACCATCCATTCCTTTTCTAAACAACTAACCTGTATTATATCATCAAAAAGGTTCTGCAAATCAAAATGAAATAAATTTGTTTTGAAGCATGATAAAAGTAAAGGTCATCAGGGCTGCCTTCTGCTGATATTTGCATATAGACCTGAATTAGAAGCATTTCTAGTGGTCCCAATTTGGTTTATTAGTTAGAAATAAACGTTTAGAGCAGGCCAGCTGTTTATGCAGTGAAGCAGCTGGGCTGCAGGAGAGAAGGAGTTGATGATATTAATGTGATCCAGCACTGACATGTCAATATCTTCCAGTGCAGTTTGAAGCAATTGCATCACATCTAATTGATAATCTGCTGTCTTACTACATTTAGTATTAAATCTTTCTACACAATACTACATGCACTTCAACAGTGATCGTGGAGGTTTTCCCTAAATGCCTGACTTGTTTGTGTGCACTGGAAATATTTACTTTCTTTAGTTCCTGCAAATTTAACCTGTTAACTTGTATTTCCAGCTAAAGAACTTTATAAAGAGTTATGAAGGGGGAGCTGCTGCCTCTTTCTCTCGCGCCGTGGAAACAGTGGAAGCCAATGTGCGGTGGCAAAGGCTTTATAAGGAAGAACTATTCCAGTGGCTAAGAAAATCCTTGACGCACTAATCTGTCTTTCCAGCTGACCATTTAACATGAAGCTCTGCAAGAGGAAGAGGAGACATTTTTAGAAGTGTTCAACATTAAAATCATGCAGACAAGACAAGATTGCAGGGATAAGGTTTTTTCTTTTTTTTTTTTTTTTTTTTTTATTTGTGGATTTTTTTTTTTTTTTGCACTGGGCTCTTGTGAAATTGTCAAGAAGCTTTTCAGAGAAGATCATGAATGCTTATGAAATCCAGTCCTCAGTGTACACAACCAAATGTGATATTGTGATGCATGTAAATGTTGAAGAAAAACAAAAAACCTTCAAAGACTATTTTATGCATGCTTGTACTGTCCCTGCCTGTATTCTAGCATGCTTATGTATAACAGCCACTTTTTGTATGTGAGTTCCAGTTACATCAAAGATGGGCATTATACAAAGCACAAAGACTATCTACGACAATCAGTATTGCAATGAACAAAAGGAAAGCAAGGAAAAGGAAGCGCAGAAGGCTTCCAACTTGGGGCAGTGTGAGATACAAAATCAACTTTCTCGATAGCTGCCCATTAGTCTACCACTCGGATTGTCTCTTAATGATTACAAAGATGCCAGCTCATTTTTTGAGATGCCAGTTGTATCTGCAGTCTCCATATTCCCATATTTTACTAAGTGGAATATATAGAAAGGAGAAAGAGAAAGAGGTGAGGAGGGGTATATAGAGAGAAAACAAGAAGGGCGTAATCCATGAGTTGTAATCATATACATTTATTTACTGCTGATCAGTGGAACCATGTAGTTTTAGCTGTGAATGTATGCAGTGTTGGAGGGGAACTTGGCATTGATTTCACAGAATCCATGAACCACCTCTTCTCAGCTATTTTATAAGGCAGTGATACTCACGACAGGTCACCCAGCCTGCGAAGTAGTAAGTTATGCAATTGGTAGTGCAGAAATATTATAAATATACATAAGATTCAAATGGAAATTAGCAAAAAGGGAGAATATCTTGCATGCAAAGACATAAAATTACCCAAGAAGGCTGCCTTGCACGTGATAGACCAGCCTCTGTAGCAATTTATTATGATAGATGGGTCAGGTTCTCTATGTGGACAATACTTTTGCAAATATAGGATGTATTTTATTCCAATTTAGAAAAGTGAAATATGAAGAAAGAGGGGAGAGGTGTGTGTGTGTGTTTAACTGTACTGGTTAATACTGAGAACACTGTTTTCTTTCTGTTCCCTTGTATTTCACATAGACTGTTGTAGATGAGTGACGCTTTTCTTAATCATGTGTTTGTTTCTTTTTTCTCAATCCTTAATCTGAAAAATCAGTGACACAGTGGAACTGCTACTTGTACAATGACTGACTGCACCATTGGTGCTAAATGTTGAGGATAAAACTGATGGGGGCCAAATACTCTCCCATGTCTACACTGTGGAGAAAAAAACCCACAAAACTACGGAGAGTTTTCAGGAGACAGATTGTAGCAGCCTCAGAGGTGGAATGTAGATGTATGACAGTGTTATTTTATCTCATCCCAGCCTATCACAACCATCTGACCCCATCGTGGCCCTGTACATTGGGAACATGTGGCCAGCAAAAGTAGAGAGCAGGCATTTTTATCTGGTCATTCTCTTCGCAAGGTGTGGAAGTTACCAACATGCTTTATGGTTGTAGTTGCTTATCTCCAGTAAGTTGTGAATTGAAACATCAGTGCAAAAAGAACCAATCAGAGTTGTGTAGAGATGATACTGTTTTCTGGGCTCTCATTCCCATGGTACTCTGCTCCTCAAGAACTGGTGGACACAACCCATAACTAAGCTGTCATACCCATCTTGATCCTGTCATGTTGTATCTTTTACTGTGCAGAGGGTGATGTTTGTGGATTGGATGCATGAAATCCTACTGTGGGCATTTGTTCCACTGTTTGGTGCTGTGTAGCACCATATGTTAGCTTGACCACACATAAGCAAAAGAAGAGGGAACCCTGTGCTCTTGTGCTGTTAACTCTTTGCCTTACAGTAAGCCCTAAACCTTTGTGCTATGTTGCAAAGCTAGAGAACCTAATGCCCAGAGACATTATCATGTCCAAGTTGAGTGAAATCCTCCTCTTCCTATGTATTTTACATACCTCACAGGGGTGTTGTGAGGCTTGACTAATGTTAGCAAAGCACTTGAATATCCTCTGATGAAAGGCATTTAAAAGTGCAAAGTATTATTTATGTGGTTGACCAAACTCAACCTCAATACCAGTATGTAGCGTCACAATTTAATTTCTACTGAACAAAATCACGTACAGATTTGTTATAGAAAAAAAGCAAGCCAAATACTATTTAATAGGACATCTACCCTGTAATGAAGGCTAAAATTATGACATCCAAAGATTGTGCAGAAAACCAAGGCCTCAAACCTGAATTGCTTTGAGAATTTCAGAGGAAAGAAACATACATGATGATCTGTCCCTTTGCAATTTTATTAAAGCTTGTCTTTGACAAGTTTTCTTTTTCAGCACCACAGATTAAACCACATACCTCCAGGATGTGCATAGAAGTTTCTGGTCTTTCCACTGATAAAGGGCAGGCTAACAATATGTTCCAAAGTAAAAAACCTGTGTATTCTGCACAGTGCACAGAAATTTCCACTGTCGCTCATTTGAATTGAAGTTCTTGCACATTTAGCTGGTGTTGGATGTAAGTTAATATTTTAGTGATCTTGAGCAACTGGTCTACCACAGATATCAAGCCCTAAAGGTATCTTACACATAGCTATTGATGAATTGCTTATAATGGCTGTGTCCTAGTAATGTTGGTATTACTGCTATAGCTAAGGTTGAGCTGGCCTTTCCATTATAATTCCCTATTCTCTTATTTTTTTTATATTTTGTATTTTACTGTTTCACACTGAATCAGGATTAAATTTAAATGGAGTAAAGCCAACAAAACTATAGCTGTTTTCTACAATGTTCAACGCTCCTGCATTTGATTATATGTCTTAGGAACTTTCTTTAATAAGTTCTACACAGCTGTGTGGTAAAGAATAGTTGATACCTCGTAGAAAACTCTAATACAATCTGCTTAGAAAAACCTGTTTATCTTATTGATTTTCTTTCTCCTTTACCAGTCTTTTTCTTCCTTTGTCCTTATCTAAAGATAGGCCCCATTTTTATAATTTAGATTGTGATTAGAAAGCCAAATACCCCAAACTTTTCAGAATTTTCAAATCCGGGCTGTAATTTTGTCCTGTCTAGTGAGAGGAGATGCTGCAAAATGTGGATCCAGTGTGAATGTGGACCTCACCCAGGCCCTGGGTGTCATTTATAGAGATTTGATGAGGCCTGTATCTCTAATCAACCTTTGTATGACTTCAGGATCCTTTCAGGATTGTTAATTGATACAGCTTACTAGGTCTCATAGGAAGACATATTAATAGACATGATTTTATGCCAGCATAATAATATAACTATTGTAAAAATACCTACTGTATGTTTGTAACACTGTTCACTACAAAAGTCTCATCCTATTACTTGGTAGCTGGTAGAATTATTCATGTATCCACTGCTAATAGCTGCTAAAATTATAGTAGCTATTAATCGTGACTAGGGCAGAATAAAGTGAAAACAGTCTTCTGAAATGAAATGTCACATCTGCTATTACTGTGAGTACTTGGACATTGATTTTGATGAAAAAAAAATCACATGTCCTTAAGTACCTCTAAATTTGTGACCTTTGATGATCTTTTCAGTGAATATAGCAAGAGTTCCGATACTGTGTTGGAAACTGAAGATGAATTTTTTGTAGCTTTTGGGCTGTTGTGGATATTTCACTGAGCTTTAACGTGTCAAAGGAAATATCTCCACTGATGCAGAAGGGTGCTTTCACAGCAAAGATCCTGAACCATACAATTAAATCCTTAGTAGTAGAGAGTAAAAGAAGAAAATTATATATATGTATATATTCATGTGAAAAATCCTCCCTAGAGATAATTTTCCCATAAAATGTCGGTGAGTCTGATTATTTGGATAAAGTGAAGCCAATATTTGCAGATGAGGGTGACTTTGTTTAGATACCTGCATAATAAGGTTTTGATTTTCCACATGATCATAGCCAATACTGAAGTGAATGAAAACAGACTTAGAGTCAAATGTGTAACTTTCTCTTTGAGGAAGAGGGATGTGACTTTGAAAACATATATCATGTATATCATCAACTAACCACCACTCCTATTATGAGTACTCACCGTATCAGGCTGCCTGTCCTAAACAGGGTTTATAGCCACAGTATCAGTATGAGCATGGAGGAGTAAAAGGACCCTCCTGCTCCTGAGCAGCCTGAACAGAGGCTGTTTGCCTGGCTTTGGATGGAGCAGTGCAAAAACGGCTGGCTGTATCACCTGCGGCTTCTGCCAGCCCACCCGGATCAGGAAGGCATCTGGGAACCACTGAAGTGCAGGGAGGCTCCATCCCATTCTCTCTCAGCTAGATGGGAGGGTCAGAAGGTCCCTCTGCCAGTTACGGGTTGTGGGTGATCTTCAGAGGTTAGTGGCATTGCCTTGTGCTGGCAGGAAACAAAGGTCCAGCTAGTCAGCCTACATTGCCCAGAAAAACCTAAATCCCTGAGCTCTGGTCAACCTAACTGGGAAACATTGGCCAAAATAGTTGTAAAAGTCTAGAATATTATAATGTCCATTCTTCAGAAGTGATTTCAAACAGTTAAATATTTTGAATTTTCAAGTATGCATAAGAACACAGTCTTTTCCTTTACGATATTTTTCTTAATATTTGAAAATGTGCTGTGAGTTTCTCAGGCCTTTTTCTAACAAATGGTTTGGAAGGCTGTCACGACAAATTATTTGTGGTAATAATAGCTGTACTAATGCCATCAAAAAATTCAGATGCCTGTGCAAATCTGTGTGATACTAGTGACTGTTCAGTTCCCTTTTTGCATACAGAACTGTAAAAAATTGGCCACTTTGTTTCTTATAAAGCTGTGGAAGCTTCTCCCTATCTTAAAACCAGTACTGAAACCCGGTGAAACCACTCTGATGAGCAAGTAGTCCATGCTGATACGAGTAATTTAGTTTTCAATAAGAAGGAAGGGGAGAAAGGGACTACTTTGTGTAAGGATTTTTCACAAAATTAAGGCCACATGCCCTAGTTGGAGCAGAATTTTAAAATCAAGTATGTTTTGAAGAAGCTGGTGAAACTTAGCTCCATCCTGTGCCCATTCTAGTAGAGGAAGGTAGCTTGACCTCGGAAAACCCCTACATGGTAACACAGTTGAGGTTGGATTTTATAAAAGACGTGTGGAGCAGGTTTTATTGAGTTGCATTCAAGGAGAATCACCCACATGATCAAGCACTGTGGGTCAGACTCGGTGTCCTTTCTCAGAAAAAAATGCATTTGTATCTGGCTGATTTGTAACGAGTGAAGTAAGTGTGATGT